GAACCATTATAGATATATCTGGTAATATACGTAAATGTAACGACTGCATCTTCATTTCGCAACATTTCTGATATAAATGAAATTGAATCGACTTCGTTCGCATGTGGAAGCCATGGATCTAAGAACCTATAAACGGAGCCCACGAAGCGGGAATTACCAAATTTGCGGCAGATCGGCTCTATCTTTATAGAATATGTGGCGATCCGTCGCATACTCTATGAATCTAGATAGACCATAGTTCCATTCTATACGCACTAACACCTACTTCGCGGCGTGCTGTCGAGTTATATATATAGAAAAAAAATAGCTATACACGCTTTGCGTATGTTCGGCTGTCCAAAGGTTGACATGTTCAAGAAAATCTTTTAATTATGCGCCGCCTACGAAAAGGTTGAAATGTATTTAATATACTACCTAACGAGTAAATGGGTTTCATTCATATCTGTTACGTAATTGTATGATTGAATGAAATAGAAATTACTTCATTAGGAAATAGAAATTATTTTATACTTTTTAGTGCATTTCGAAGTCGGTGTATTTTTTTTTCTGAAAATTATTATATACACAGTACGAATATAATCCGGAGTAATTTCAACTAGCTGCAGAACAATGAGCTGAAAAGGAAAAGGAACTTAAAAATTGGAAAATTGGAATTTTCTTTTCAGCTGTGTAGGCGAGTTGCGTTCTCAGCTTGCTTGCGAACCGGTGGTATAAAACAACCGATCATAGCTAAGTGTGCGACACGTCTACGTAAATTGGAGATACACCACGTAATTCCAGCTTGTAGTGATGTCAATTTTCAAATATCTATCGTTTGGAAGGGCTCATTTTAACGGGAAAGCTTCAAAGAATATGACCATATTCTTTTGAAATTTAAACCCTTTACGCCCCTCATTCAAAAAAACGCAAAAGCAGAATTTGTTTAAATTTTCCATTTTATAACAAATGGGTGGAGTTAAAAAAAATATTAAAAAATTTTAAATCGTTTTAAAAGTCCAATCCTTTGTGAATAAAACAAAAAAGAATTTAGCTAAATCGATTGAGTAGTTTTTGAGAAAAAAATTCGTAAGTGGATCCTATTTTCGCCAAAATGGGCAAAAATTGCAAACTTTGAAGGCTTGTCATTCACTAACGGATTCGAAACCGGCAAAATGATGACTTAAACACCCTCTAATTTCACATGGACTTCAACATATTTCGATTAGAACAAAATCGGAGATGGTGACTTTCAAAAGTGATCGATTTGGTGTGGAATGACCAGCGTTTGAGTGTCAATGATGTCATCAAGGTATATTGGCGGTGGTTGTGGTTCTTTTTGTGATAACTGATTTTCAGGCTTATTGTTATCAACGCATGAATTTAAAATTGAAAATCTATTTTATATTGTTACAGAACTCCTTGATGGACCCAATATGGCGTTATCGTTTCCGTTTGTGGTCTCGATTCTTCTTCTTTTTTTGTTCTGGTCAATTTGAATCAGCGGAGGTATCCTTTTGCCACGGAGGGGTCCTAGTGCTTGTCTGCGAATTCTGGTCAAAGATTTGACCAATTTTTAACGCCATCTCAAGCTAGATATAACCGATTAGAATCGGTATCTAGTCGAACGGCTGTTGTTTGTCCTTATCTAGAATATGATATTCGTTGGTCCGGTTATTGAATTTGTGATTGCCTTTCCTTGTCAGCTGTTCCGTAAACACTTTGAGCTCCATTGAACACGTCCGAACGCTTTGACAGCTAGCACGTGACTGTATGATTGCTATTTCATGGCCGTAATTTTTAAAATGCATTGAAAAGACACTGTTCTCTATTATGAGCATAATTATTTTGTTCCGGTTGATTAAAACTGGAATACCTTAAGGACAGAGTTTATTGTTTTATTACAGTCGTGGTAAGAGTATCATCAATATTTACTAAAATGCCGGAACTTCAACATTTGAGATATTTGAGGGAACGTGCAATGAATAAAACAGTTTGATATTAATTCATTCATTGTAACTATTCATTTTTCTGGTGCTTTATCATTCTTATTTTATGTGTGAAGAGTACCAAGAATGCGAAATTAGATATTCTGTGACCACTTGCAGAATTGTGAAATACATTACCTTCATGTTTAATGGAGTCCAGTATATTCGTTTTCTGTCTTAATCGAAATTTGTTAGGAGTTGGACACGAGGATACTTCAGGCTGTACGTAACGAAAAAAAAGACAGCGTAGAATCATTTCCGCAAGCCATTTCATTACTTCGTTAGAATCATTACCTCTATAGAATAATTATTACATTAAACAGTAAAAATCACAATAATATTTATCGAAATCTACTAAACAAACACCAAACGTAAGCATCGCAAAACGTTTTTAAACGTATAGTTAGTGACTTTTGTTATATTGTACTTTAAAATTGTATTATCAAATTATTAAATAATCCTTCCAATAGTTCTTCTAATAACATTCATTTCATTTTCACATTCATTTAGTTTTCTCAAATTATATTATTATTTATATATGACTAATTCTTCAAACAATGTAATATGTTTGTAATAATCCGTACATTAATACTATTTTCCCTTTGTTGTTTAGATACTTTCAAGCTGGTGGAAATCCTGAGCAAGTAATAGAACTATTATCAAAAAATTATACCGCTTGTGCTCAGTTGGCAAACCTTCTTGCTGAATGGCTTATTCTTGCCGGAGTGAAAGTTTCAGACGTTCAAGCAATGGTGGAAAATAACTTAAAAGACATGATATTGAAAACATTTGATCCGAAAAAGGCAGATAAAATTTTTACAGAGGAGGGTGAAGTATGTATTTGAAGTTTTTGGAAATGCTAAGTACAAAGTTATAATTTAATTGTTATTAAAATATAATACTATTTATATTAGACTCCCGCTTGGTTAACGGAAATGATTCAGCATCCTACTTGGAGATCTCTTATTTATAGACTTGCAGAAGAATATCCTGATTGTTTGATGTTGAATTTCACAATAAAGGTACAAACATATTTTATACTTAAAATGCATGATATTCCTAAAATATTTAATTTATTGGTTTAACTACCACATAATTATTTATAATTTTAATATCTAAATATGTAAAGATTAATTGATTTCATTTACTATTATACTAAAATATCATCAATAACTAATAAAACTCTTCGTATTGCAACATTTTAGTTACAACGTTATAAAAATCTGTATTGAAAAATACAGTTTTTATCACAAGAGAACAATTATTCAACTACTTAGAAATGTTACTGAGCTAGTACACTTAAATTCTGATGAAATATTATTATATACAGTGAGGGACAATAGTATTCGTACACTTGAAATATAAAAACAGAAAAGAACAATATTTTCTATATTATTAAGTACATTTAAAATCATACATAGCTGCATGTTAAACATTACACTTGCAGCAACAAATGATCCAAAACCAAAAGCAATAACATTATGTAGTAACTTGAAATGACTTGAAATTCACGAGACAGTAAAAAATCGCCGGAACACAAGTATTCGTACGCTTAATTATTGCTACAATTATTTTAGCAGGAATTTTATAAATCAATATTTTGTATGGTAACCCTTGCGGCAAGTCATTTCAAGTAATATTTCGGGCATTGGCAACACCAAATTTTTAACGAAGTCAGGTTTTACATTACACTACTCTCTTTTTAATATTTCTTTCAAGTATTATATCATGTTTTCGCACATTTTTTTCAAGTTTCGCCCATACATGTTCGATAGGATTTAAGTCAAGCAATTGTGGATGAGTTGATAACCTGTGGGGAATATTGGTATTAACAACCACTGACGTACTATATATATTGGCTGTATGTTTTGCGTCAGTCTTGCTGAAAATAAAATTCATCTAATTCATACATTTAATTCATTCTAATTATCTGCACTATTTTGTAAATTTTCTTTTAAAATATTTAAATATAAATGTTTACCCATTATTTCATCTATTATTACTAAATTATTGCCTCCAGAAGCAGCAAAATTTGAAATCCAATGCAGTATTAGCTTTTCGCCCTACTTTTTTACTATCGTCCGACTTAAAAATATTAAATTTTGACGTGTTATGTTCGCCGATAATTTTTTTATTTTTTGGAGTTGGATGTTCGAGAATAGTCAAAGACTACCGCAAAGAGGGAATTTAGTCTTACCTAGCTTTCCCAGATACCCGGGTTTCCTTATTAGGCTTCGCTCGAGAATATCTAACGTCTCCGGATGCGTTGATCCGTTCCCACCGTTTTCACCACTACTCGTTTTGCACCCATTTTTTGGGTATGAAAAGGGTTGTGGAGAAGACGCATAGGACCCAGTTAATTCTCGAACGCTGTCTAACGAGGAACCTCTGTCAGAGTACAGTTAGAGTCATTGCGTTGAATTAAAGAAGTAATTTCGAGCAAGATCGGATTAGAATTCCTTTCGAGCATAATCACCATACAGTATGTATAGTCTACTGTTAGGCATTTTTCTAAAGTACTTTTGGATCCCCATTTCACTTGTTTTCCGTCGAAACTAGGCAGGATTAGATTCTCGCTTTGTCGGAATCGAAACTATTCAAACTCAAGTAAAAATAAAATCAAGTTCGACTTTTGTATAAAATAATTTTCAGAAAAAAAAGAAAAAAAATACGCCGACTTCGAAATGCACTAAAAAGTATAAAATAATTTCTATTTCCTAATGAAGTAATTTCTATTTCATTCAATCATACAATTACGTAACAGATATGAATGAAACATATTTATTCGTTAGGTAGTATTAGGTATACAAATGAATAATCCAATTTTTCTGCTTCATTCAAGGTTTATTTTAAAAGTTACTAAATTGAATTGTTCAATCAAAGTAGTCGCCATTTCTTTCTATAACTTTAAGCCATCTTTCTGGTAGCTGATGAATTCCATCTCGGAAGAATGTTACGTCTTTAGACGCGATGAAGTCGTCAAGGCATTTTCGGATCTCGTCCACTGATTGGAAGTGCATATCAGATAAGGCGTGTTGCATCGACCGGAATAGGTGATAATCTGACGGAGCAGTGTCCGGTGAATATGCCGGGTGCTGCAAAACATCCCATCCAAGACTCATTATGACATCTTTTGTATTGGAAGCAATGTGTGGCCTCGCGTTGT